GTGTTCTAATTCATCATGAAAATATAACACACTTGCCATGGCTTAGTATGTTGTATTAGTTTTCTACTGCTGTGTAACAAATTCTCACAAACTCACTGAAACAATGTACACTTGTTACTTCAGAGTTTTCGGGTGTTAGTTGGGTCCTCTGCTCAGGGTCTCACCAGGCTATGGCCAAGGCACTTGTCTGGCTTGGTTCTTATCTGGAGGCTCCATTTGGGAAAATATTATTGGCAGAATTTGTTGTGGGTATACAAATTAGGACCCTGCCTTTAGGACCCTCCAGCTGTCTGTTGGACAGACAGAATTTTTTCTGGAGGATGCCCTGAGGTTTGGAGGCCACCCACAAGTCCTAGGGGTCAACAGCCATTCCTAGAGACCATTCTCACTTCTTTGCCATGGGAAGGCCTAGGCTCAGTATGGCTGCTCACTCCAATCAAGTCAGCAAGGCAGATCTCCCTGGTGCTTCCTAGCACAATGAATACACACACACATACATATGTATCATAGCATGGGCTTGACATTGACATTTGTGACATCCATCATCTTTGTTATACTCTATTGGTTAGAAGCAAGACCCCATGTCTTACCGGCATTCAAGAGGAAAAGGTTCCACAAAGGCACGGATACCAAGAGGTAGGAAGTTAATTGGGGGATTACCTTAGAGTTTGTTCATCACATATACCAAGTAAATTTAGTAAAATATGTACTTCTTGGTAGCTAGTTATGATTTTATTTGGGAGACTTAATGACATTTTACATTTTGAAATTCCACTGAGTGCCACATGACAGCATAGGTTACACTAGGCTTTATGTACGCGAGACAGTATATTTTTAAGTTGAAAACACACTGCTATCTTAGTGTTGTTTTTTGTGCATTTGTGTGAATTGAAAAGGATGAATTCAAACACTTGATGGCAGTAGTAACTCATTCAAAATTCGGTCAGCGAAAGCCCTGGTATACAAAACAAGCTATGAGAATATAGGTACTTCATTTTTATATTTATCACGAACACTATATTTAAACTATTCCAGTTTTCCAATATGAGTTACTAGATTTTAGCATTTTTTCAATTGGCTTTTAGAAAGCAAACCTCAGTTAATTAAACGTATAAAAAATTCTCTAGCTAGAAGTTGGATATACCTGATACATTTGGTCAGATAAATAAAATCCAACAAATATTTTTTTAGATCCGTCTTTGTAACCAATTAAGTTCTATGGTAAATGAAAAAAACAAATAAATGGAACATATTTTATGCACTCTCAAGAACTTGCTTTTTGCCACCCTGAAGGTATCCATGCACAGGAAGTTGAAACCACAAGGGGAGGCGCCATCTATTGGTCTTAGAGGCTAAATGCAAAGTATTAAGACCAGCTTTCAAAGTGGGTGATGGGCATTGAGGAGGGCACCTGTTGGGATGAGCACTGGGTGTCGTATGGAAACCAATTTGACAATACATTTCATATTAAAAAATAGTGAGATACAAATTACTCATTGCTTTCCCTTGATAATTTGAGAAGTTTGGGGTAGTTGGCATATTGTGAGGCCTATTGTGCATCAAAGAATAACATTGTGGTGCTTTTCTACTTATGACTCCTCGTGTCATTTAAGTAAATTATGAAGAGAAAGTTAACTTTGTAATGAGATAACTACAAAGACAGTTTCTGCAGATTTAAAGAGAAGTAAGGATGGGAATTTTGTACTGGTAATCGTACTATGTGTAGGTATTATTTGTTATCACACTTTGAAAATATTACTAATCTTTTATTCACTCAAGATTTTCAGGGAATTAACCTGACGTACTGTAGTCATGACATCTGAAAAACATGTGTAGTCAGTAATGATTAATTAGGAATTATTAGCATGAAAATGTTTGTTTATAAATAAGTTTAAAGTATGCTGTATTGTGGGGCAACAGAATGAAGTGCCCCTCCCCAAAAATGGCCTGGAATATTCGAGAAAAATAAACCTGTGTAGCAATTGAATAAAGAAAAAAAAGTTTATTAAAAAACACAGCATTTAATCAGAGGCCAGTTTTAGAATTAAAGCTTTCAATGAAGAATGTGACGTGTTGGAACTGGCCACTGAAAAATAGGATGCATTTACAAGGAATGCTAAAATGTTATCATCATATTGCATATTCCATATGAAATAAGGAAACATATAATCCAGGCTAGATTCATTACTGCATATTTATTATCATTATTATCATTATCTTGTTTTGTTTTATATTAAAAGAATGAAGACATTTTAATAGGTCTCTAAAACCATTATGGGACTTTGGCAACTGTGAAATCCTTAGCTGAGAGCCTAGTTGGTTCATGTAGGATTTCTGACCTATATAAACTGTGAGATAGTAAGATGCTAATTTTGTGCCAATTTTTTTAAAGCAATAATAGAAAACGAATATAGAGTTGCAAAGTTAGAATTCTACTTTTAGTCTGATTCAGAATCATGTATTGGAGTGTGTCTAAAAAGTCCAAACAAAAGCTCAATTAATTTCTAAATATCACTGTTTTATAATGATGGCTTGATGGTTATTCTTTTCTAAGGTTTACAACTTGGGGTATACAAATTATGATTCACAGGGTGCATGATTAATTTTACTTCATATGTCTCAAGCAAATTAATATATATTTTTAATTATTACAGACATATTGGTATTTATACTTTTAAACTGAAACAAAGAAATGCTTATGCATCTACTGTGGAGAAACATAACAATTCTTTTCAATTGCTGAACTACAGAAGTTCTGGATTTAGCTACAATGTCTATAAATAGTGGCATATGATGGATGGTATGAAATAATGAGAAAAATTTCAGAAAATATAGACGAAGAAATATATTTGCCTGAAAGAGATAGTTGAAAATAAAAATATATACTTTAAGTTTTTATTTATTTTTTATTTTAAAAATTTTAATGTTTATTTTTGAGAGAGAGAGAGAAAGAGCGTGAGTGGGAGAGGGGCACAGAGAGAGGGAGACACAGGCTCCAGGCTCCAGGTTTCAGTTTCTGGGCTGTAAGCACGGAGCTCGACCCCATGAACCATGAACTCATGAACCAGGAGATATGACCTGAGCCGAAGTCTGACACTTAACCTACTGAGCCACGCAGGCGCCCCAATATATTGTATGTTTTTAATTATTAAAGGTGTACTATTGCCAATTGTCTCTTTTTTTACTTTAATATATTAATTCAGAAATAGTTAGGCAAGGGCACCTGGGTGGCTCAGTCTGTTAAGTGGCCGACTTCAGCTCAGGTCATGATCTCACAGTTCGTGGGTTCGAGCTCTGTGTTGGGCTCTGTGCTAACAGCTCAGAGCCTGGAGCCTACTTTTCAGATTCTGTGTCTCCCTCTCTCTCCACCCCTGCCCCATTCACACTCTGTCTCTCTCTCTCTGTCTCAAAAATAAAATTAAAAAAAAAACAACATAAGAAACAGATTATGCAATGATGAAGAAGTTTGATATTAAAACATTTTCGTGAGGTATAGAGAATTGTGCACTCTCCCACACTGTTGGTGAAAGTATAAATGGGTATAACATCTTTGAAGGCCAATCTAGTAATATTTATTAACATTTAAAATAATATGCTCTTCAACCCAGAATTCCATTTCTATGGCTTTACCCACAGATGTACTCTCACATGTACACAAAATTATTTTTGTTTACATAAGGCTAGTCCTTCCAATTTTAGTGTAAATAAAAGAACATAAAATGTATGCTCATGTAATGGGCTGATACGTGCTTTTCAGAATCAGTAGAGCTGTATGTGCTGATATGGAAAAATCATCGAGAAATATTTTTAAGTGAAAGAAGCAAGGTTTAGAATAGTGATTATTGTAGTTAAAAATCCATGTTTACATGTATAGATGCATATATTATGGTGATATATATGTGTGTGTGTGGCACCTGCATGTGTATATTTGTAATAAAGAGGAGTAATTGCTTATGTACAAGTTTTTGTTTCTTACGGAAACTTTCACAAAAGTGCAAGAAACCATTGCCTAGTTTGTTCTTGGGAGTGGAACTTGAAGTTTGCAGCTGGAAGGAAAATCACCTTTCATTGTATATTCTTTTGTCATCTTTCACTTTTTAACCATGTGCCTGTATTATGATCATACATTTCAGAAAGATCAACTTACCTTAGAAAGCATTCCTTAGCTTCTTCCCTAATGTAGCTCTCATATCATCCATTGTCTGTTTTCTAGTTTATAAACTTTATTTTGTTCACAGGCATAAAGATATACCAACAGAATGATTCGATAGTTATCTAGTTGTGTTCAAGGGATGAGACAAGCCTAAAGTCTTCCTACTACACCACCATCTTATGAGATATGCCAACAAATTTCCATTTAAGCAAGGTTCTAAAATGAGTTGATAGATCTTTAAGGTGATAAAACATTATTATTCAACAACCAAAGCCATGTGTTTTTTTGTTGTTGTTGTTGTTGTTGGATATAATTATTTGTATGTTGCATTATAGTGAATATTTGCCCACAAGGCCATTGTAGATTTCAAATACTTTTATTCTCTCTTTGATTTTCTTTAATAAATTTGGAAACAGAAACATGCTTTAGTGGAAAAAAAAAGGAAAAGGAAAGTTTAATTAAAAAATCTAAATCTTGACAATACACCTAAAGTGCTCATTTAAAATTTTTTCTTTATTATGTACTTAACTTGAAACTATATGGGACAGAAATCCTTAAAGCCTGCAAGTTACATGTGATTTTCAAGAATATCTGCGAAATAGATACATATTTTTTTTATCATTTGGTTTCGCTCTTTCTGTACATCATTTGTTTTTATCCTTGACTTATCTGGTGTTTGCTTAAATTGATAAACTGTCATCATATCTTAAAACTTTTAGTTGTATTTTGTGAAATTATATCATTTTTCAGAACACTATTTGAAAGTATGCTGAGCTTTTGTTTCCAAAGAGAGCGGTAAGAATTGTTTCGTTATAGCAGGCATCATAATGCTAACCATTATCCGCAATTAGACAAGACTCCCAATAGGCAAACGAGGTAGGCACATGTATGCTTGAGGAGTTTTGCTGAGATTGATAGGGTTTCCATCCAATCGAATATCCTCTAGCGCCTTACGGATATAAGTCAAATTTTTAACGTTGCAGAAAGTATCTTCATGCATCTCCAAAATGTTGTTATTCTAAAAGAGATGATAATAAATTATAAGACAAAATATAACATATGCCTAGTATTGATTAATAACATAGTGCATTTTGCCTCACCCCCATTTTTATTCTTTTGTTCTTTCTCTTATCCAAAAATGCATGTTAGGGATCATTATGCATTGAACACTTTCTAGACAGTGGGTATTAAATCATTGAAGCACAAAGTAGACATGTGCTTGCCCTAATGGAGCTTACATTTCATTAATAGAAATGTAAAATAAGGAAGCGAGAAAACAAATTTAAAGAAAATGTTATATCTAAAAATGATGAGTAGGGAAAAGGAAGGGTGGTCACTGTGGAAAGTCATCTTAAGAGGTAGCAATGGAGCTGAGAATGGAAAGAGCCAAGGTAGGAATATTGCAGGGAGAGAGAACACCATGTTCAATCTGAGTAATTACCATGGAATGTTCAAGAATGGGAAAAAAGTCAAAATGGCTGAAGTCAATAAAGTGAGGGAGAGAGTGAGCAAATCTTAGGGAGATACGCAGGGCCCAGAAATATGTATTTAAAAATAGCTTTATTGGATATATTTTACATAACGTAAAATTCATTCACTTTAAGTGTGTGGTTCAGTGGTTTTTAAGATAGTCATGGAGCTATACAACCATCACCATAATTTAATTTAGAACACTTTAAACATCCCCCCAAATCCCATAGATGTTAGCAATTACTTCCCCCTCACCCCCCACCATTTTTCTCTATCTCTAGGCCCTGATGACTTCTAATCTACTTTTTGTTTTTATGCATGTTCCTACTTTGATATTTTATGTAAATGAAATCACATATCATCTTCTGTGACTGGGTTCTCTCATTTCCAATTGTATTTTTTAAGGTTTATGTATTTTGTACCGTGTATCGGCACTTGTTTATTGCCTGATAATATTCCATTGTGTGGACATAACCACATTTTTACCAATTCATCAGTTACAGAAATTTGGATTGTTCATACTTTTGGCTTTTATGAATAATGCTTCTATGAACATTTGCATACAAGTTTTGTGTTGACAGATGTTTTCAGTTCTCCTGGATATATGCCTGGGAGTTGAATTGTGGGTCATACAGTAACTCTATGTTTAACATTTCAAGGAGGTATTGGACTGTTTTCCAAAGTAGCTGCACCATTTTAGATTCCCACCAACAATGTATGAGTGTTCCAATTTTCTCTGCATCCTAACCAACACTTGTAATTATCTGTCTTTTTTATTTTTGCTGACCAAGTGGATGTGAAGTGGTACCTCATTGTGGTTGAGTTCATTGCTAGTGTATTGAGCAATTGATATTTTATATTGATTTTATCACCTGCCACGTTGCTGAACTCATTTAAGTTCATTTTTTTTTTAACGTTTATTTATTTTTGAGACAGAGAGAGACAGAGCATGAGTGGGGGAGGGTCAGAGAGAGAGGGAGACACGGAATCCGAAACAGGCTTCAGGCTCTGAGCGGTCAGCACAGAGCCCGACACGGGGCTTGAACTCACGGACCGCGAGATAATGACCTGAGCCGAAGTTGGACGCTTAACTGACTGAGCCACCCAGGCGCCCTGAACTCATTTAAGTTCAAATGGTTTAGTGGATTACTTTGACTTTCTGTATAAAAGATCTATGGATCAATTTGGGGATTATTTCCATCTTAATATTAAGTCTTCCAAACAATGAATATGGGCTATCTTTCCTTCATTTAGATCTATTTTTCCTCAGATAAAATTACATACATTGGAGGTTTACAGCATAATGTTTTGATACATGTATACATGGTGAAGTGATTACCACAATCAAGCTAATTAACGTTTCCATCACCTCATATGGTTACCTTTATGTGTGTTTCTGGTAAGAACACTTAAGATCCACTAATGTCAACAAATTTCAAGTACACAGTATAGTATTCTTAACTATAGTCTCCATGCTGTATTCCATTATATCTCCAGAACTTAATACATTCTGAATAACTAAAACTTTTTATTCTTTGACTAACATGTTCCCATATCCCCCAGCCCCCAAGCCCTGGCAACCACCATTCTACTCTCTTCTTTGAGTTAGACTTTTTTAGGTTCTACATGTGACGTCTTATAATATGTGTCTTTCTGTGTCTGACTTATTTCCCTCAGCATAATGTTCTCATCCATGTTGTTGTAAATGGCAGATTTTTTTTTCTTTTTTGAATTTTTTCTTTTTTTTAAGTGTATTTATTTATTTATTTTGAGAGAAAGAGAGAGCGAGCTGGAGGGACAGAGAGAGAGAGAGAGAGAAAGAGAGAGAATCCCAAGCAGGCTGAGCACTGTCAGCACAGAGTCCGATGCAGGGCTCAAACTCATGAATCGTGAGATCATGACCTGAGCCAAAATCAAGTTGGAGGCTTCACCGACTGAGCCACCCAGGTGCCTGGTGAATTTTTGTTCTTTTTTAAAGAATTAATAATTACCCATTGTATACATATACCAAAATTTCTTCATCCATTCATCCATTGAGAGACACCTAGGTTGCTTCCATATCTTGACAATTGTTAATAATGCTGCAGTGACCTTGAAAGTGCAGATACCTCTTCGAGATACTGATTTAGTTTCTCCCTTGAATATATATCTGGAAATGGGATTGATTGCTGGATCATATGGTAGTTCTGTTTAACTTTTTGAAGAACCTCCATACCATTTTCTAGAATGCCTGTACCCCTTACATTTCCACCAATAGCAGACAAGGGTTCCCTTTTTTCCACATCCTTGTCAACACTTGTTATCTTTGGTCTTTTTGATAATAGCCATTCAACAAGGTGACATCTCACTGTGGCTTTGATTTGCATTTCCCTTATGATTAGTGATGTTGGGCATCTTTGCATATACCTGTTGGCTATTTGTATGTTTCCTTTTAAGAAATGCCTATTTAGGTACTTGGCCAATATAGTCGATATTTTATTGAGTTATTTGAGTTGTGCATATATTTTGGATACTAACCCCTTATCAGATGTATAGTTTGTAGATATCTTCTTTCATTCTATAGATTATCTCCTCTCTCTGTTGATTGTTTCCTTTGCTGTGCAGAAGTCTTTCAACAATATGTATTCCATCTATATATCTTGTACTTTTTTATGAAAATTATTCTTAGGTGCTTTATTATTTTGTGATTAATATAAAATGGAATTGTTTTCTTAATTTCATTTTCAAATTGTTCATTTATAGTGTATACATATACAATTAATATTTGTATATTGATTTTGTTACCTACTACCTTGCTTAAATCATTTATTGGATTTCTTTTTTAACTCATTGTTAATTAAGGAAAATGTTGTTAAATGTCCACATATTTGTAAAATTTCCCGATTTCTTTTGTTATTGATTTCTATTTTAATTCCATTATACTCAGATGTACTTTGCATAATTTCAATTCTTTTCAATTTGTTGTGGCCAGTTTTGTGGCCTACCATATGATCTATCCAGGGAAATGTTTGTTGAACACTTGAGAACCATGTATATTTTGCTGTTGTTGGGTAGAATGTTCTGTAGGTGACTGTTAAGTCTGGTTGATTTATAGATCAACCAGATGCTGCTAAGATCTTCTTGAACTGTTTCCTAGTTGATCTTATGAGAGGCATTCTACCCATTATTAAAAGTGAAGTATTGAAGATCCAACTTCTTGTTGAATTGTCTATTTCTACCTTCACTTCTATTCATGCTTCACACAATTTGAGGCATACTGTTCATAATCATTATTATAATAATGTAATAATGATTAATAATAATAGATAGGAATATATAATTATACATTGTTAGGTGCATATATGTTGATAATCATTTTATCATTCTGTTGAATTGACCCTCTTCTCATTACACAGTGTCCATCAGGAATAACAGATTTGGTGCCTATGTGCTATACTATTTTCTTTGATAGGTAATAGGTACCTGCTGTTAATAATAATTGTGCCTCACATGTAAGAACTTACCGTGTTCCTATAACTGTGGTGCAGGGAGGTTCAGCTATTTTATCCAATCTTTAGATAGTGTTGGGAGTAGAATTTCATCCTGGGGAATCTGCTTTTGCCAGAGCCTTCATTCTTAATTACTATATATATATATATATATATATATATATGTACATATATATATATTTGGCAAACATTTGAAATGAATCAAAATTGGAGATTTTTATATAAGCATTAAAAATAAATACAAATGGAAAACAATGTAAATTAAAATAGTTAGGTGTGTGTAGGTGGCTCTCTTCAAGCATCTGACTTCAGCTCAGGTCAAGATCTCGTGGTTCGTGGGTTTGAGCCTCGCATTGGGCTCTACCCTGGTAGTGTGAAACCTGCTTTGGATTCTCTCTCTACCTGTCTCTCTGTCTCTTCCCCACTTGCATCCTCTGTCTCTCAAAAAAAAAAAAAAAAAAAAAAAAAAAAAAAAAAAAAACAACTTAAAGAAAAACAGCTATATACTGCATGTTGATAAGGTGGTCATGAGAAGAGAAATGTTTTAAAGGGTGCACTTAATGATGCTCTTTTAAACCTTAGAGTAGGGTATGTGAAGCCAATTACTTTTTATTTTTTAATGTCATATTGTATATACAAATCCATTGTGTTTGAATGCAACATCAGAGACCCATTTACTTTGTAGGGTCAGTATTATCACAGACAACAGTAATAATCTCTTAATCCAGAGAGATGGAAGTCTGTCATCCCTCAGCAGATAGGAATGTCCTAGGATTGAATTTAATTCAATATATAAAACCTAAAATCAAAAGCTAAAATTGACATTTTTTTTCCTCCTGAAAGCCAGGAATTAAATTAAAAATTTCTTTCCACCTTTTTCTCTTCCATTTCTAATTCTCACACATTTCTTCAGGAGATAAAGGTTTTGATTTTTTTTTTCAAAAGTAATTTCATGTGCCAGAGAGGTGTATTAGGATTTAATAAAGACTGAAAATCTTTAGAGACTATGGTTATCAGAAATAAATCAGTATAGACAGAAGCATGAATATACAAAGACCTTGCACTCAGATAGAGAGTGAGAGAGTGAATAAAGGGAGAAGAAGAAGAAAAATGGTGACTGTGTATCAACAGGACATTATAAACAGTTTTTGCATCCCAGCTTCCTCCTCTTTGCTTTTGTTTTCCATGGAGCTATTGAGCGTACCTTACTAGTAGAAGCTTACCTGGAGGTGAAGGGCCCTTAGGTTTTCTGGGAGTGGCAGAGGGATGTGGTCCAAATTGTTATCGGTGAGGTAGAGATGATGGAGATCATACATATCCTGTAAACATTGCAAATGTAGGGACTTAGTGGAAATTAGCGGTGCCACAGTTGTATTTTCCATTCCCTGTTCTTTCAACTACTTGTAAAATAACACATGCCCGTCCAGGTCTTGTTTTGCAAGGGTGAGGCAGATTAGTTCTCTAGTTGCTAGACAATTCAAATGAGTTTTGTAAGAATTAACTGTAAACAAATCTTCCTTGATGAAAGCGTAAAGTGTTTCTGGATCTGTAGGAAGAACCTTGCTTTGTGCACTCTAACTTCTTCAGTTTAAGCAAGGCAGTGTCTTCCCATGGAAGATCTTCTGCAATAAGGTTTTGAAGATTTGGGTAAGGCGTAGGAAGAAGGTCCTTTATTTTTTATGGATAGAGAAAAGAGTTTCTCTCCAACAATATCCTATTCTTTCTAGTTCAAATAACAGGAAATGGGCAGTGTAACAAGATAAAAAACAAAAAACAAAAAACATTTAGACAATAAGAGGTCTACTCTAGCCAAATACTACAGAATAAACCGTGACTCACCATCACCCATGCCAACAAAAGCTGAATGGGGAGACTGAACTTTGACCCTTGGCAGACTACATACAATAAGGTGTCCTAACTCCAATGCCTACCAGGGTAACGTTATGGGAGAGCTAGTGGAGAAATGGAACTTTCGCCATTGCTTAGTGCTAATGGGTCCACACAGCTCTCTGTACTCTCCCTGGGAATAACATGGTGTCTCTTCAAGTAGTATTTTAAATTTGTTTGTTTGGCATAGATTTAGAAGAGCAGCTTGAACAAAGAGAGGGTAAGAAAGCTGGTTGGTGAGTGTTCTCATACTCTATGCTGTTATTCTAGCCTCAGACTTGCTTCTTTCATTTAGAAAATAAAATTTCTAAGATTAACTGAATCCATCCTTTTTACAAGGTGATTTAGAAGACTTCTGTATTCAACGCACCTCCCTCACCCTGCACAAGTAGTTATCCTTTAAGCCATGTAAAATATTCGCCTTGAGCGGAGTTCCTGGGAAATACAAATTGTCTGGCTTACACCATTTCTAGGTGCGCATTGTAGACTTGTGTTCCAGGGAGCCACCAACTCCTTATTCTCAGTCTGCTTTCTGTTCTTGTTGTTTGACTAGCCTCAGAACTTACCAGAACACAATGTTTCCCCAAAACTTGATAAGTAGTACTTAGAGGTTTTGTTTGTTTGTTTGTTGTTTCGTTTTGTTTTTAGTAGTTAAAAGTCTCATAAAATTGACACTTTCCTTATGGAAATAAAAAAGTTAGTCAATGACAGCAAATGAGGTGGAAAGATTAAAGTCTTCCATATCCAAACTTAAAACTCACTTTAAACGCTTCTTGTTTTATTCCTTTCCTCCCCAGCCTATTGTTGCTAATATCAATAAATGTCAAAGTGTTTGGCAATTCTGGGAGCTGCCTTATTTTGTTGTCACGCAGGACAAGCTCTCGGAGTTGAGGTAGCTTTCTGAATGCATCCTCATCAATCTCAGATATTAGATTTGATGTCAGATCAATTCTTTTTAAGTCATCTAGAAGGAAAAATGAAAGAAGTAGTTAAATAGTGTTGAATATGTTGTGCTCGCATAAAAATATGAATATAAATTAACAATGAATTTAATTATCAATGGACAATTAATAAAATAATTATTTCTAACTACTTTACATACAAATTTAATTGCTTCCACCCAGTGCTATACATACTTTTTTATACACTTATAAGTAAGCATAACTTTAGGGGTGCCTGGGTGGCTCAGTCGGTTAAGCTGTGGCTTTGGCTCAGGTCATGATCTTGTGGTTTGTGAGTTCCAGTCCCGCATCAGTCTCTGTACTGACAGCTCAGAGCCTGGATCCTGCTTTGGATTCTGTGTCTCACTCTCTCTTTCTGCCCCTCCCTGACTTGCACTCTGTCCTCTCTCTCTCTCTCTTTCAAAACTAAATAAACATTAAAAAATTAAAAAAAAAAAGCATAACTTTAACAAAAGTATTGACACATTATATTTAAGATAACTTGTGCTTTCCCTGTATTCTTCATAAGCTTTGTCTAGATTTTACCATTTAAAAGGTTTTCCTCACTGATGCCAGATTGCTGTATTTTCTAATAGTCATAGATACATTAGCATTAAAATACAAAGGCATTAAAAAGAAATTCTCAAATGATCAAACCACTTTATAAAGACACTTTATAAAACACTTTATAAAGTTTTGTAAAAACTTTTCTAAGTTGCCAAAATTATTAAGTCAGAAGGTAGGCTTTTATGCATCAATCATAAAGCAACTGTGCTTTAATGGGAGTCTATTCAAACAACCCAAATCCTAGTAAATATATGACCATGACATTTTACTCAATGTCATAACATGATAATGAATTTTAGCCTATAAAATATACACACTTATGATTCTATTTCTTGAAAATAGCTCATTTGAAAATATCAACTATGTAGTTTCACAATGACCTTTAATTCTTCATCATTTTTAATATAATTAAAAATACCTTCAAATATTTAAATAAGAAAAGAGTTGTTTATGGGCCAATTTTCATATCCAAGGTTCATTTTTAGTACCAACATTTTATAGTGCAAAAATTTTGGAAAAGTCTGTAAAGAAGAAATGGTATTAATGCTGTCATCCATACTTAGGCTTGCAAAATCGTTCTTGTTGATCTTTTTAATTCTGTTGAAGCGGGAATAGAAATAAGCAGTGTTCTTGGGCAGCGGTGGAATAGCATCAAGTTCGTGGTCATCACAGTATACGGTGGTACTTATACATGTACACAGAAGGCAGGTTGGAAAGTCTACAAGGTAGAGGCAAATAATTATGTGTAAGTAACAAAAGGAATTTCCAAGAAATAATGTGATTAGATGTTTGTTAAATAATATTAGGGTCTCATAGAGACTACCCTGGGATATTTCATATTTTATCACATAGTTTTCTATAAATAGAAATTAAAGTCAAACGTACCAAGGAAAGCTGCCATGATAATTAGTATATTCTTTGTAATGTTGTAAATTTTATTTCAAATTACTGAGTGGATAAAGTGTGGTTGTTGCTTTTATGCTTATTAGAAATTCTCTTTTCGAATGTAAATAGTAAGACTGTGGTTTTCATAAAGTTAAAACATCACACATAATATTTTTATTAAGTCTTTGGTTTAATAATTAAACACCTCACTGAAACAAAATCTGCTTCAAGAAAAATGACAGAGTAATGATCATTAATATTAATTCATTCAATATATTTATTGAATTCTTTCTATGTAAATGACACTATGCTAGCTGGTGAAATAGTGAGGAGCACGAGGTGACACAGTTCTATTTTATGATCTTCTATGTAAGATCATATATGTTTAATTTCCCTGCTGAAGACTTTCTGCTGGATACTTACGTTTCCCTCTATTGTGTGCGTATCTGCATGTTTTTATTTGTAGAATGCTCTACTACTCCTTAGAATGTTAGCTATGTGGTAAGAATATAATGTATTCATTTGAAGTATTGGCTTAGGATGTTAATCACACAAATAAATAAAGTGGGAACTGTGAAAAATGTCATGAAATATATGAGCATAAAATAGGGGAATCTGACTCAGTCTGACAGTCATGGTTCTCTGAGGAGGTGATAACTGAGTTGAGATCTGCAAGAACAGAAGGAGTTAACCATGCAAGTGGGAGGAAAGAGTACCCAGGCAGAGGAAGCAGCATTTGCAAAGGCCCTTCACTTTGGAGGGACTAAAAGATGGTCCATGTGTCTATAGCACAGACTACATTGAAATGTATGGGGCAGACCATGCAGAGGCCTTATAGGCTGTGCTATTACAGGTTTTGTTCCTTATCCTAAGGATGGGCAGGTCATTACATGATCAGATTTGCACAGATTAAGAAAACACTCTGCTTGAAGTTGTCGTAGAAGACTGAGGGAGGGCAAGTGGACAGAGTGGAGATGACTTGCTGTCTAGATAAAAGATGATAGTTGCTTGCTTGGGGTCATGGTGACATGTTGAAAAGGCAACATATCCAAAAGGTATTTGTGAAGCTGCGTTATGTCTCAACATATTGATCTATATTTCTCTATCACATGTGCGCACACACACACACACACACACACACACACACCCCTCCTTCACTCTCTGTTTAGGGGTCATGTAGAGGACAGTGAGCTTCAAAGGAAGATAGAAATGCAATGACTAGAAGGAAAGGAGCAAGATAAGATGGGGAGATATTATGGAGGCCAAATGGAGAGAGAGAGTTTAAAGGAAAAGGGAATAGAAAACATTCTAAAGCTGCTGAGATGTCAGGTAATTTAAGGACTGAAAATGTCTTTTGGGTTAGTTACTGCGGTGGTTATATACAACTTCAGTAAGAGCTACAGAGTGATGGGGCTAGAAGCCAGATTAACAGCCAATTGAGGAGGGAGTTGAGGGTGAGGAAGTAGTTACAACAGATATAGACAATGCTAGTGAGATGTTTAACTGTGAAGGAGGAAAGAGAGATGGTGATAAGTATAAGCAAATATATATGCAGTGTGTAAATTGACTGAAGCAGGAGAAATTTGTAGAAAGAGATCCAAAGTAGAATTTGAAGATCAAAAGGATCCTGAGAGGGCGGTAAGACATGGACTCAAAGCCACAGTGGGCAAGATCGCATCCTGTATTTGAGAGGACAGTCTATCTGTTGGGAAAGGAGGACAGGGAGATAAGGTGCGTGCAAGTCCATGTAGGTAAAGATTACATCTCAGAAAGACCAAGAGCTGCTCACCAGAAGATTGCATTTTCTCTGTTGAGCAAGAGGCTTGGCTCTCTGATGAGCTTGAAGAAAAAAGGGAGGAGGAGGAGAAGGGTGGTTAAGATGTGAGATGAATGGAGAATGTGAAATAGCCATGAGCGAAACTAGACGAAAGTAATGGAAGAGCTTCCTTGCAATCGCTCAGTGATCAGTTCATCCCAGTTTAGCTGGGACTTTCCTGGTGTTAGCCTTGAAACCCCCCCACTATGGGACGCCTCTCTCCCAGGCAGACCCGGACATTTGGTTGCCTTCGCGGAGGGATCTCCTTGTGGTTTGTGATCAAGAATTATTAGTGCGCTTACTAAGGTCTTATTGTTATCATTAAGTAGGGAAATTATTTACAATAACAGCTCTGGGAATGAAAACTATTTTAGGAATGGAAATCTAGGAAAGAAAATTTAAGGGGAACTATAAAATATTGAACACTTGCTAGTTTTCAATTCATTATAAATTAATATTTACCACATATATATATTTTTAAAATAAGTATTTGATTCTTCTATATTTTCATTGCCTTGCTAATTTAGCAGTAATTGCTTAAAGTAATTTATATATATTCACACCAGTTATATTTTAATTCTAGCTTTTCCACTCATAACCCAAGCTTATTTTATATGGCTTCAGAAAATTATTTTTAGAAATTTGTATTCATAGTAAAAAAATATGATATTTTGATTATTAATGCTCTAAATAGTTCCTTCCAAGCTATTTAGCTATGATGCATGTATAAGATTTAAATTTAATTTTAAAGTTTAGAATTTCTGGTGCTGATTTTTCTGTGGAAATTAAAATGTGAATTAAAATGTTAACTTCATCGCTTCTCAGCCTTTTGGCTAAGGTCAAGTGTAAAATTTTAACTTCATTAGTCACCCTCAGACTACTTTGCAGATAATTTTTTTTTCTAAAGCCATATATTTTTTTTATGGGTTCAAACCTGACATTATTGAGCCATAATTTCAAAAACTAAACACAATTTTCAAAATCTAAAGCTTTTGAAAAGATTGGGCGTTATGTTTTTCTGTTGTTCCTGGCTTGGCTGAAAGACCTGAATATAGGTAACAGTGCCAGATCAGTCAACGTCTGACGGATCTGAAATAACTTAAAAGTGAGTAACGTTCTATATATGTTTAATTTCCCTGCTGAAAACTTTCTGCTGGATACTTACGTTTCCCTCTATCGTGTGCGTATCTGCATGTTTTTATTTGTAGCGTGCTCTGCTACTCCTTAGAATGTTAGCTATGTGGTAAGAATATAATGTATTCACTTGAAGTATTGGCTTAGGATACAGGGGTCGCTATTTGCATTTCAGCACAGCTAAGTACCACGGCCATGATCTTGCACAACTTTTATCCTATGTTGGAGTTTTAGTTGTCCTATTTGTAAAGCGGAAATAATACTACTTAGTACAGAGTATCATTCTGACTCTTCAAAGCGTTGATATACATAAAATGTTTTAGCAGTTGGCGTATAGGCAGCATTTTACAAAAGACAATCTTTTACATCACTTACTGGTGAACAGTTAAAACCCGGTAGAGGCAGAGAGTAGGTTGGTGCCTACCAGGGGCTGGGGAGTTGCTGCTCAACACATGTAAATTTTCGCTTATGCAAAATAAGTCAGCTGTTGAGGTCTGCTGTACAACATAGTGCCCATAGTTAGCAAACCTGTGTTGTACACTGAAATATTTGTTGAGAATTTTAAAAAATAAGCTCTTTTATCAATAGTGGAGTAACGAGAATAACATTTATTATGTTACTGTGGGTCAGGCACTAAATTCATTCATTCAATTCTTACAACAACTCTATGAAGAAAGTTGTATTATTTGTTATCCCACATTTTGGATGAGGAAACTAAGGCAAAATATAGTGAATGTCTTGCTCAAGATTGTGTTCCCAGCAAGTCCCAAAGCTGGGATTTGAATGCGCTCCCCTGGTTTCTCTCTCAGTATGTTCTGTACAGCCTTTTGTCATATTACCTATTACACATTATTGCCTCTCCATTTGTTTACACGTCTGTCTCCCTGTACTAGAGAAAAATATCCATGAAAACAGCAGTCCGTTTTACGATAAGTTTCGTAGCTCCAGAAGTTTCAGTCCAGAGACACTCTCTGTACTAAATAAACCTTTGCAATGGGAACTCTGCTCATTTTTGTACACCCCCTCACTATGCCATTCTCTGTGTGTGAAACTATTCTGGTGGGAGTCCACTTGAGTGCCTCCAGGGGTGACACGGACGAATTCTAACAAGAAACATAGATCATAGAATCACATCTAGCCTCAGGAACTCCTAACGGCCGTGGCTTAGGTCACCCTCAGGCTGTACAAGATGGAGTTCAGGGCTATGGAATGCCTTCCTCTCTGCTGCTCCCTAGGACTGAGTGAGAGAAGAAGACTGTTCCAATAAGTACACAGACAAGAATCAGAACAGGCTTGCTTTAAACTCAGTGTGTGACACTAACAGCTGTGTGATCTCCGACAAGTTCCTACCATTTTTGAGCTATTAACAATGAAAAGATTAATCCTCACACCTTTACATGCAGGTGGTGGTAGACAAGTGAGAGAATATGAAGCGCTGAGCCTTATGGCCCACAGGTAGTATGTGCCCAGTCAATGTAAAATATTAGTATTATTGCCGTCAACCCAATCAGCTGTCATTACCTTATCACCCTGAACTGCTGTGGCCTCATCTGTCAGACATCGATTCTCATCTTGCTAACAGTATACTCTTTGTTCTAGAAATGCATTCCACCACAAAGATTTTGAGTAACGATGCTAGGCCAATATTTCGTTCCCAGATTTGGTTATTTGATCATTTCTATCATGCCAAAGCTTATTTAATTATTAAATTAATTATCAAAACTGCTTTTTATGAATTATTAAAACTCCTTTATATTTGAATGCAAAATACATATCTCCTGCTTCAAACCTAGCCTGTAGCACAACTTTCTCTGTGAGTCATGTGGACTGCCTATGGCCTTGGAGCTTGACGGTGTTGCAGTATGACCAAGTGGACTTCATTCACATCAGCTTTGATGGACCTGACCTTCATTGGTGTGTGGGCCCAGAACCCCAGTGAACTCAGGCTCCTGTGGGGAAGAGCCATCGATAAGTCTAGGGGTGGACTCTTCCTCCTCTTCTTCAGCCTCCTCTGGCTGTGGGGGTGGGGTGAGAAGCTCTCTGTTCCCAGAAGGCATCACTGTGGCTATTTCAATCTGGAAAAGAAACAAAATTTCACCAGGAAGCCTCAACCCCCCTGTGTGGTAGGGACACAAATTTTAAATGTATCCATTTTTTTTGCCACAAGAGGGCACTGGTGTTCTGAAGTTCAACACTACAGGACAGCTTGCCAGGGAGGGCACATGTGGTTCTAGTTATTGTTATTGTTGGGTTTAATTAATTTTGTTTCTCAAATCTTAGTAATAATTTCCAATGCCCATGGTTTTTTTTTGGGGGGGGGTGATTATCTTGCTCTTTAAAACATTCTTATATGATTATTTATTTTTTAAAAACCTCATTTATTGTTTTATAAATACATAGCATTGCAAGAATGCATTATTGTTGTGGAAGATTTAAATTAATCCAGGAGTGTGCAGAATAAAATCCCAAAGTCCCCTTCACCCTGAAACCCTGATTCCACTCTGCTTGAAAATAATCACTATTAAGAAATTAATGTGTATGCTCCGGTCCTTTTCATCCTTAGTTTCCTAGATTCAAATATTCTGTTTCTTTACAATTTACACTTCCAATAGTTTTACTGAGAAGTGTCCTTTCTACTAAAATGAAAAAAATATGTATGGATATATGAAAACGATATGATTTTATCATGTGCAATTTCTCATATACTTTCAATTTTAATTTGAGTAACAAGTATTACCAACAATATTTGGGTTTGTTAAAATTGGCCTTTGTGAGAGTTTTGACAATAGAAGGCATCTGTTAAAATTGAAAAAAAAATACTCAAATATTTTTTCAGAGATTATATTTTAGATTATACATGGTGTTCTTTTCTTGCATATTTTAGGTAATGAGTTACTACTGCTTTTAAGAACACCATTTGCATTTAGAATAACCGCTTACTCTCAAATCCCTCCCCGTGTCTCAACGTCTATTCCTTTGCATTACTTAATAAATATCTACCTTCCTAACAATCTTATAACCTTAGGCAGGAAATCTGCTCAAGATAGTTCATTGGCAACATGAAGGACACACTTTGGGAGTCTACTTTCCTGATGGCGTCCAGAAATCTCAGATTCCCCTTTTGCTACCCTTATATGGCTGCTTGATTCTTCCCACCTTTCTTCTTTATTCACACTTATTAAATAAGCAAAAAAAAAAAAAAAAAAAAAAAAAAAAAAAAAAAAAAAAAAAAAAAAAACCCACAAATTACCTTTTAATGTATTTAATGTCAAATGGTACGCACAATATTACTTTCATGTATGAAATAAGTATGTAATTAGACCAGATATTTTGGTATTTTAGATAGCTGTTTCAGGTAATCGTAATACACTTAAAATTAGATACATTTATTATTTAATGTTATTTTTAATAAATTTGAATGCGTGGCTTCACAGATGAAAATTAAAATTACTCTTTTAAAGGAACACTAAACTTTTTTGTCAGTTCACACTTCTGAATTGTGTCTTTTTCTGTTTCTGGAGAGTCTGTCCCTTTCAGCCCTTCCTCCCTGTATTGTAGTGACTCCGCCAGTTTCCTGCCTATCCAAGCCCACTACATGGTACACTCTGAGTTACATATTTTATCTTTGTAACTCAAGGCTGTAGCGTAATAGATGATCAACAAGTACTTATTAAATATAAGCTTGCTTGTCCAAACTATATCTAAGTCACAGCTTTATATTTAACTTCAGAGATTTTACTGATAAGAATCATGAATGTGTTAATGCCCACTTTAATGCATTTTAAAGCATGAAATCAAACCAAAAGCATCTCATACTGTATTTGGTGCATTAGGAAGCCATACATGAAGATATTGTAACTCTTGGCCAGAAATCTCCACTTGAGAAGATTGGGCACACGTCCTTAAGCAGGGAGACATACGGTTTCCATCTGCAGGATCAGAATGAAGCAGATTTAGAAGGAATAGATCTGCAGAGACCAAAAGGAGGCTCCAGGAAGAGCGGAAATTGAGACAGATGTTTCATGGAATGGAGGCAGCCTAAAGGGAGAAACACATTCCAGACACGTCGCCTTGAATCTTTAGCTTTGTAGGAAAAATGTTTGCACATACTTTCTACAGATAATTGTTTTTCCACTGATTTGATGCGAAGCCGTAAGATCTCACTTGCCATCCAGTATAATGAGGCAAAAAACAGCTTTTGTGCTTATCAAAACCCGTTTTGTTCATGCTTACTTACTAATAAAATGTGAACGTTGAACGTTGAACAATTTTGAAGACCAAGGGAAAAGAATGCCTTTTCAGTTCAGCAAAATTACAGAACTATAAACTCAAAGTGCTGTTCCTGGTAAGCTTTTCGCATTGCAGACCCATTTATTATCACTATTGAATAGAAATGATTTAAGCTTCTGTCTTTTTTCCTCCTTTCTTTTAACAATTTTCATGCTGCGATATGAAGTTGTGAGGCAATGCGTGCAAAGAAATGTGGCCAGGGAAGCACAGCCACCTGGCTCTCCATGTGGCTGACTTTTATGCTTATCCTGCAGAAACCTAAATTTGGGAATAAACACAAATAGCCAGAAAACCATCCCTGCCCCTTTTTCTTAGGCTACAACTGGCAACACTCAAATGCAAATATAACTGAGCCTGTGATAGAAATCTTCATTCTTCCCGAATATTCCTCCGTTGTTTTTCCTTTTACCTCCTTGTTTTACTCTGACCTGTTGTTTTTGTCTGTTTGTTTTACTGTTTTTTTTTTTTTTTTTTTTTTTTTTTTTTTTTACTGAATTCTTTTGATCTGTTTATTATGTTTACCTGGATTTTACAAACACAATAAATACAAAGGGTCACTCCTGCACATGGCCTCGAACTTAGCCACCACTGTGCTTGCATATCTTTTTTTTTAGGTTTATTTATTTATTTTGAGAGAGAGAGAGGGAGAGAGAGAGAATTCCCAACCAGGCTCCACACTGTCAGCACAGAGAGCCTGATTCAGTTACATTTCTTGGACCAGGTTATGTGTACTGAGACTTTTACCAGCAATATTTATCTCATTATCAATAATACTGCAAAAGATTTCAGACTTTCATTCTCCAATAATCAGAAGAGGTGTCCACAGAAAAATCTTCTAAAAGCACTCAGCACCATTTTAAGTGATAACATTTGGTTTTAAACAAATTTAATCAAATCCACTTGTCTCATCCAAAAGCACATCTAAATGACCTGGAGGAACATTGTTACCATTGAGTCTACTTAATGTATTTGTCTTAAGTTCATGGTAAAAATATGAAAAAAGAAGTGTGTTCGGAAACAATAGCCACACTTCTCTTCCTAATTGCCTCCTTTGCCAGGAACCCCGTCACTACAGACTCTTGCTGAACATGCTGCTTATACTTGTTTAGGATGATGGAGAGTCATTTGCTGCTGCTAAGCCTGTGTTTCAACTAAAAAAACATATGTATGTGTGTGTGTGTGTGTGTGTGTGTGTGTGTGTGTTTTAATATTTTGATATCTTTTGATCTCAGCACTTAAACTGAAGTTTCCAAAGAAACACTTAATGAAAATGTCACTGATGTGTGACGGAAAGAATGCTATGAAAGAATTCAGGATACTCAATCGATTCCTACCTTCATGAATGGATGAAAAGATCACTGAATGAAAGAGTGAATTTGTAAATGATGGAAGTTTTGCCAGTCTTTACGGTTACCTAATCAACCAGAATGAATGTCTATGCCAAACATTACATTTAAGTAATGATCATTATGTCCATTTTCCCTGTCAGTATTATTTTCTAAACATCTATCAATACCATTATTTTTTTTTTCTATGTCTACCATTATGGCCAGAATCTAAGTCGCTACCTGTCTTGCCAGGAATACAGCAATAGTCTACTTACAGGAAGTTGGCATCTCCTCCATTATATGTTAACTCTCTAATGAGAATAAGCTCTTTAAAAGACAGAACTGGGGGCGCCTGGGTGGCGCAGTCGGTTAAGCGTCCGACTTCAGCCAGGTCACGATCTTGCGGTCCGTGAGTTCGAGCCCCGCGTCAGGCTCTGGGCTGATGGCTCAGAGCCTGGAGCCTGTTTCTGATTCTGTGTCTCCCTCTCTCTCTGCCCCTCCCCCGTTCATGCTCTCTCTCTGTCCCAAAAATAAATAAAAACGTTGAAAAAAAAAATTTAAAAAAAATAAAAAAAATAAAATAAAAAAAAATAAAAGACAGAACTGATCACTGCCAACCTCTGCTTAAAATCTTTAAATGGCATCTTATTGTTCTTAATAGCCACAAGACCAGTGGCCTTGCAGAAGCAAGGTAACATATTGGTTTGACTGGATGAACTTGACTCTGGCCTATCTGTGAGATCTTGGGTGAGGGACTTTGCCTCCTAAACCTCAGTTTCTCTACCTGTAAAATCCTGGTATATATAGTATATAGTACAGCTGTGTTAGGATGAAAATGTTAATACACAGAGTAAGTGCCATGGAAATTTATTATTAGTAGTATTTGTTATTTTTATTTTTGCTGTTTTTATTTTGTTTGTTATTATTTTTTTAATTTTTAAAATGTTTTTATTTATTTTTGAGACAGAGAGAGACAGAGCATGAGCAGGGGAGGGACAGAGAGAGAGAGGGAGACACAGAATCCGAAGCCAGCTCCAGGCTCTGAGCTGTCGGCACAGAGCCTGACGCGGGGCTCGAACTCACGGACTGTGAGATCATGACCTGAGCTGAAGTCAGACGCTTAACCGACTGAGCCACCCAGGCGCCCCTTATGTTTGTTATTATTAATAAAATAAATTCAAAACTCTCTGCCTTACAAGGTCCTGCATGGCTTTGCCCTTCTAGTGTTGCCTTCTTCCATTTCATACAAACTCTGATCTTTTTCTGCATTGCCCATCTTTAATTTCTTATGCTCCTTTTTCTAGAAGACATTTGCATGTGCTAGTTGTTCTGCTTGGTATTCCCTCCATCCCTTAGCTTCCCCCCCAATATTATTTTATTTTATTTTATTTTTTAACAGCTTTATTGACACTACAGTAAATCCTGAAAGACAAAGAAAGCAAAAGCATGTGCACACT